TGCCACACCAACACACCCACACACCCACACACACCCACGCTCATCCACACCCACGCTCATCCACACCCACGCTCATCCACACCCACACCCCACCCTAAAGTAACAATAATTGATTATGAAGGTCGATTGAGACAGATTCTTTTCTATGCACTGTTTTGAAACTTGGACTCTGGCTGGCTGTGAAGTTTTTAAAGATAAAACATATATACCTAAAGATGCTCTTTCATGATGCGATAGCCTTGTCGTTGATATTGCGCAGAATGAGCTCACACATCGTCATGATATCATATGTTATCAATCCTCTTTATTGTTTTTTTCAGTATATCTTCACATGGCGACAACAATTAGTAAAATCGTTTGCGTTATTTGCAAAAAACCAAGGGGCACGGTGAAATGTGGGGGATGTTCAAAAGAGTTTTGTTTCGATCACGTGATCGACCATCGCAATGAACTGAGGGAACAATTATGTAAAACTGCAGATCAATATAATGAGTTCAAACTTGAAATAGACTTGAGAAAAATCGAGCCAAAAAAGGATGAATTGATGAAGGAAATCGACGAATGGGAACGACAATCGATCAATAAGATTCGACAATTGGCAAATGAGGTTCGCTGCAAGCTTTCGTTACGCGTCACAAATTTTATGACTAATTTGGATTTGCAATTGAAAAAATTGACTGAACAACTAGATCAATGTTATAAAGAGAATGATTTCATTGACACAGACATTTATCTTTTCAATGATGAACTCAAACGATTGAAAGGCATTCTCAACCATCCACCCACTTTAAAAATTGAACAAAAATCAACGTCTTTCATCAATAAAATCCATCTTGCATCAAACGGTGAGTCTTATGCTTTATTTGAAATCCAAATAGCGGACACAATTTTTTCTTTATCTCTTTTTTTCGGAGGATCACGATGAATTGTTCAATCATTGACTTTGCTTCCGATCGGAGAGCTTCTAACACTACAGAATTGAATTATTAAACTTACGAGGGGAGGTCCCAAAGTGTAACGCTCCGTTTTCAATTTAGTATTTGCCATTTTGTACAGCGCAGTGAGTACAACATGTACTATAAAGAGTTCGTACCCATACTGAACTTTTCAGGGACTACGCGGTACCATAAAGGGGATCCCATACTAATGGAGGATAAATTGTTAATGATATTCTTCATACTTTTTCTTTACGTAGAGGGCTGAAATTTTTATCACTTACATATCTTATCAAGATCCTTTATTACTGAAAGTTTCAGCTCTCTAGCTGTAATTAGCGGCGGGTGTGGGGTGTGTGTAGATGTGGATGCGGATGTGTGCGGGTATGATATTCGAGTGAATCTTCTCTTCTTTCACATCCACACCCTCCCACACCCACACTCACACCCACACCCACACCCACACCCACACCCCACACCCACACCCACACCCCACACCTACACTCTCACTCATAGAATTTCATTATTTGGAATATTTACATAATCACAATTTTCAGATAATTTCATCATAGAGTATCCAGTAAGATCTTTGAACGAGATCCAAAACTTATTTTCAAAAATTGAAGTAGAAAATCCTTTGCATCATTCAGTTCACAGTGCTCCAATATTTTTGAACAAAGCCGATACCTGTGCGTGGGTGTATGGGTGAAGAAAAGAGCCACACCCTTCAATAGTTGTTGATTCGTAAAAGAGAATTGCGCGACTTTGCTGTCCTATTGCGATGATAAAATAATGTGATTTTGATATTCAGACTTATTTGAAAGGTAAAAACTCCTTTAGCGAGCGTTAGATGAGTATAAAAACAGATTGTAAATGGTTACAATCGAATGTCAATAGATCTTCAATAGAATACTTAAGATTCTTTTTTATTCAAAATGAATCAACAACGAAACTACTGTTGATAAATTGTTCGAAATGGCAACTGAATAAAACTATTATCTGTATCGAACTTCTCTATCTCGAAGATTAGTATTTATCAATGTAGAATAATAAAATTCCACTGTTTAGCCTTGTGTTTTCTTTCAGAATTGTGCCTGCGTAGTGCAAATTTGAATGCGAATGCAAAATGGGTTCAGAATGGTACCACTGTGGCTGGAGGAAGTGGAGAAGGCAGTAGAATAGATCAGCTGCACTATCCATGGGGTCTGTTTGTTGATGATAATCAAACCGTCTTAATTGCTGACAGTTCAAATCATCGTATTATGGAATGGAAATGTGGTGCAATAACTGGCCGAGTTGTGGCCGGTGGAAACGGAGCTGGAAATTGTGCGAATCAGTTAAATTGTCCGACAGATGTAATTGTCGATAAAGAAAGACATTGTCTGATCATTTGTGATCATGGCAATAAAAGAGTAGTTCGATGGCCTCGTGGCAATGGTACAAGTGGAGAAACGATAATCTCAAATATCTGGTGTTGGGGCTTGACAGTGGACGACGATGGATCTATCTATATTGTTGACCATATAAAACATGAAGTCAGACGATACCGAATGGAAGAAAGTCAAGGAACAGTGGTTGCAGGTGGAAATGGACAAGGAAATCATCTCAATCAGTTGAGCAATCCCCGATACGTGTTCGTCGATCGAGACCATTCAGTATACGTATCGGACACAAACAATCATCGTGTGATCAAGTGGGTAGAAGGAGCAAAAGAAGGCATTGTTGTGGCCGGTGGTCAAGGTCAAGGAAATGGTCTTACACAACTGTCAGATCCTTACGGAGGAGTTGTTGTGGATCAGTTAGGTACTGTGTATGTGGCTGACTATAACAATAATCGAATAATGCGTTGGCATCAAGGAGCCGCACAGGGAAGTCTTATCGTTGGTGAGCATGGTCAAGGAAAGCAACCGAAGCAGATCTATCTACCTATCGGTTTGTCATTTGATCGACAAGGTAATCTCTACGTGAGTGACTATGGACATCATCGAGTACGAAAGTTCAACATTGCTCGAAGTTAATGGTTTTTGACAATTGACATTGCCTAAATCTTATCATTATACTCTGGCATAAGTGATCGAATAATACGGTGGTTTGATTTCGTGCTGTTTTTTATAAGTTGAAAAAAACAGTTCAAAATTTCGGGCATCTCATTTTTCGGAAATCTGAGTGTGTCTCCTTGATCATATTTACATTATGAGTTCGACGCGTTCTTCCTAACCCATGTGGTGCTTCGTATTAAAATATCAAATACTTCATATGAATAGATCTCAATTTATAGTTAGGTACAAATATACTGGTTTCGTAGTAGACGAAGCTCAGTCCATATTCTCGCTAAGCATGCGTCGTTGGTTGAAATAACGCGAGACAGAGAGAACGTTGGTGTGGGTGTGGGTGAGGATGTGGG